AAAAAAAAAAAAAAAAAAAACACAAGAACATAAGAAAAGTCCTAATAGTTAGATCAAGACCCTCTCCAACATCCAGATGCAACCCCGAACCCGTACCCAAACACAAACAACCAAAAAAAGCGACCCAATCCCCGACCCAACACACATGATCTAAACATATACGGACCAACGGACTGGAATCCCTCCCAAACTGATTAATAAATATTAGCAAATTTAATTTAAAGACTTCTAATTAGTACAATTTCTTATTTTTTTATTCTTATCATTAAGGTTTTTAAGTCATATACATGTGTTGGAATATCACTTGCGAGTTTCCATATTGATTCTACAGGGAAAATGAGTCTAGTATATAAGTCTAGTGGACTACTCCTCCCATCACCAATTGGTTTTGGGATGGAACCTCACTAAGGTACATCTAGGCTCACCCTCTTATGGTGCGCCTTCATCTGGTGGGACCGCACTCTCTTCCCCCGTTTCTAATAACATGGTTGGTTACTGATAAGTAATCCATAATTATATATATATATATATATATATGTACAAAAATAAATACATTTATATTCAAATAACATATTTTAAATACAATATAAGCAAATATATAATATTCATACTATAAGTATATATATTTTTGTAAATAAAATATGACTACCTAACGGTTAGTCAACCTAACAATACTATTTGTGCATTATTTTAACATGAACGAAAAAAAATGTGCAGGATTAATGATCACAAAGACACTATTTTTAATAATAATACTCTTATATTTGAATGTCATACTTTAAACAATAAGTTAAATATTATAAGTACTTGGTTCTACACTTTTGTTACAATAATATTTGATAGATTGACTGTGCTGACTTATGCATTTTGACTACCTAATTGCAAGTTGACCCAACTTTTTTCCCAGGTCCTTTGACTTGTTGTAATAGTTCATCTACCTAAAGTCTTAGCAATGGCCAATGGGGTTATGAATTTGCTTAGATGCCCAAAATGTGTTGTGTCATATCTAATTCATGATGATTTTATATTTCACACAAATTTACTATCGAAATCCCAAAATAAAATTAATTATAATTATCATTCGAGGCTTTAAATTTAGTAAATGACAAAATATCTTGAGACATACATGACCAAATCCCGGCTCGGACAATTAAAAAGAAAAAATGAAAACATATCGGTTTCTCGGGCTAACCCGAACTCGGCCCAACCTGCTAGGTCATATGGTACAAATATATGACCCTGGTCCGACCTGGTTAAAATCAAGCTAAGTCCAGTCAACATGTTTGACCAGATCGAGTCCGTCTTAGGTCGACAGGCCAGGTGGCCCGTGGTCATTTCTATGTTGAGAAAGTGATTTGCTCAACCCAAAAAACAACTAATTAATAATAAAATAAAAATAAAATCAATCAAATCAAATAAAATAGCCGAAAAAAAAAGCGTACGGTGACAGTCACAGTTGTGAGCGCGAAGCCGTTCAAGTCTATGGTAGCGGGCAGCCGGGCAGCCCCTTCCACCGTTTCGGGCAGCTCTCGAAAACACTGCACACACAGCGCGCACACACGCCCAAAAAGAGAAAAACGATAATTATCCCACACACTCGCATTCACTCATCTCCACACTTTGCAGAAAGAGAGAGAGAGAGATGATTTGTAGAGAGAGAATGGAAAGGGGAAAAGGGTAAAGCGCAAAACTTTTGCAGAGGGCCGTTAAAGGTGCTGAAGAACATATCATATTGACAATCAATGGAAGCCCCTTGATACAAAATTCGATTTTTTTATGCATACGAGGAAATCCCGTTTGAGTTAAAGTATCTTTACTTTTTCTTCCTTTTGTTAATTTTTTTTTTTTTATTTTCCTGTCTTGTTCTCTTTTTCGGGTCGGGGTTGGTAGGATCAGCTTCTTGGAAACAAATGTTGGTGAATTTGGGCCGAATTTAGTACAATATCATCTGGGTTTAGGGGTTTTCTGTAAATGCTGTGCCTTATTTGTTCGATCTGCGGTTTAGCCTAGCGGGCGTTTGAGCTTATATCCCTGCTCTATACGTATTTGTCAACATTTGTTGTGCTTATTTTGGGGGTGATGAAAAAGTTGATGGGAAGAGAGGGCATTTTGCCCCTTGTGATTTGGCTGATCTTGGTGGTTCGACCCCTGAGGTGTATTTATGCTAATATGGAAGGTTTGTACTCTGCTCTCTCAAGTTTGTGTTGTCTAGCTGTTGCTGATTTCAATTCAAGTTTCTTCGTTTTTGGGCACCTTTCTTTTAGTCTGTGTATGTTGTTTTTCTTCACAAGCTATTCATTAATGGGTTTTAGAGTTTTAACTGTTTAGTTGAAGTTTCCTTCTTGAGATGTCGGGCGATAGGGAGAATTTACGGTTTTGGACTGGGACTCATTAATTGTGTTAGTTTGATGTAACTCTGAAGTGTAATCTTCAGGAATTATAGAAGCTTAAACATAGTATATTTTATCGTAGGATTACTGGTCAGAACAATACTTTTTCTGCTAGGAATCTTGCATAGAAGTTAGTCCACATGTCCAATTTCTCATATAATATGTAACTGTTGTCAATATGCGTCTTGATAATCTACCATAGCTGTGAATAAAGAGTGGAAGTTAGGACAGGCTTTCATTTTAACTTTTGTGGTTGTTATGTTCGGTAGGCGATGCTCTTCATAATCTTAGAGCAAACTTACAAGATCCAAACAACGTGCTGCAAAGCTGGGACCCGACACTTGTCAACCCATGCACATGGTTCCATGTCACTTGCAACAATGATAACAGTGTGATTAGAGTGTAAGGATCCATGGTTCTGTTCCTTGTTTATGTTCAGTGCAATTTCTCCTTAGGCTATTTCACGACGTAGTTCGTTAATTGAAGTGTCATCTAATATGGTTGCATACTCACTTTTTTTTTTTTTTTTTTCCTCCAGTGATTTAGGGAATGCTGCTTTGTCCGGTCAATTGGTCCCACAACTCGGCTTGTTGAAGAATTTGCAGTACCTGTATGTTCACTTGAATTGAATGGTTTAAAAATCCCTCTGCCCGCACGTCCCCATCTTCTTATTTACGTTTCTTTAATTTTCACTATTTGATTATGACTTCTGGTGTGTCTATGTGCACTTCAAAAATTCCTCGTATAATTTTTAATTATCATAGCGTATAGTTTTTAGTTTTTCCAGAAATGATATTCTGCGATTGGTTGAAAAACTGCATTATTTGTTGTAGGAGTAAGAGAAAAGTCTTATATTTCTTCTAATGTAACATGTCAACATCACCTTCGTTAGGATTATGAATTGACATGCTTTACTTCTTACTTCTGTTGTAAACATTTTCTGATTTTACCTTGCCCACTTCTTGTCGTTTTTTGTCTTTTTTTATAGGGAGCTATACAGTAATAACATAAGTGGGCCCATACCCAGTGACCTTGGGAATCTGACTAATTTGGTGAGCCTCGACCTGTACTTGAACAGATTCAGTGGTCCAATTCCAGACGCATTGGGGAAGCTGCCGAAATTGCGTTTTCTGTGCGTAAATTTTATTCCTTGATTGGTCAATGTTAATGAATATGCCTTTAACGGTTGTGATTAATCTAAACTAACACAAAACTCAGTATGGTATTTAACAGAGTTATTTTCTTCGAATTCTTTTGAGTTGCTGTAGGTATGCAATGAAGTAAACTTTAATAGTAGCCTATTTTGGCCGTTGTTGAAATTATTGATATATTTTGTTACATGAATTCTCCTTTGAATATTCATTCTCTATGCTGTGTATTGAACTTATAATAGCATTTCAGACATTTGGACCTTCCTTACTGTTTGCTTTGTACTTTGTAAGGATAGCCGGCTCAATAACAACACCTTGACGGGTACTATTCCAATGTTGTTGACCAATATCTCAACCCTTCAAGTCTTGTGAGTGTGCAGTGCAGTTTCATTTACTTTCAAAGTCTGAAAATTATTCTCAAAACAGATTACTGACTTTACTCTATCAATATCTTGATGTAGGGATCTCTCAAATAACCTTCTTTCAGGCGCAGTTCCTGATAATGGTTCTTTTTCTTTGTTCACACCCATCAGGTAAGACAATTTATATGTTACCTAGCATAGTTTTAACTGAAACTTTAAAATGCAATCTTTCAAATATCTCATACATGTAATTCGTCCTTAACAGTTTTGCAAATAACTTGAATTTGTGCGGCCCGGTCACTGGAAAACCATGCCCTGGATCTCCTCCATTCTCTCCACCCCCTCCATTTGTACCACCACCCCCAACTTCTTCGCCAGGTCCTTCTTATTTTTCCATTTTTGTCTTCATTTGTGCATTAAACTCTAACATAAAGTGGTGCTGTCTGCCTTCGTTTTTCCTTTCACTTTGATTGTCCGAGTGCGATTGTTACTTGTAACAAATACATTTCTCATTTCTTCTAAGACCATGAAAACCGTGCAAGAACTTTGTCTACGAATGGCGAAGATTTAATTGTGCCATTATTACTCATTGACATGCAGCATATATGCAGAGTTTTGTAACAACTGAATGAGTTTTTTATTTTAATAGCATTTTTTACCCTGATTTTAGTTTCAAACTTGTATAAGTTGCACGTGCGGTGCTACATAGATTTTACCTGCGATTAAATGCCAGTTATATTGGCCATACTTAGGCTTGTAAGGGTTGTTTTGATGTACATTTTAGAATCTGGATCTTTTCCATCTTACTAGATATGTTATTTTGCTTTAACTAAATATTCAACAAAAAAGGCAAGACTCGCTGTACTAGTTTCTTATTCTTTGTCTATAATCTCAAGAGTCACTCGAAATTGAACATAATGGTTCATTTCTCATTTTTTGTTTTTTTAAAGTACCGACTTTGTATCATTTTATGGTAAAAAATGATAGGATTCGATGGATGTAACTTGTAAAAGATAGTCTTCTCAGTTAATTTATTTACCAAAAAACCCTTCCCTTTTGCACGTCAACTCTAGGTGGAAATAGTGCCACCGGAGCCATTGCCGGAGGAGTTGCCGCCGGTGCTGCTTTGCTATTCGCTGCCCCTGCCATCGCATTTGCATGGTGGCGCCGAAGAAAACCGCAGGATCAATTTTTTGACGTGCCAGGTCAGTCAATTATTTTAATGTTTTTTAATTTTCGCAATAATAATAATTAATACAAAAAATAGCTTCAAATAATTTTTTTTTATTTTTGCAGCCGAGGAGGACCCCGAGGTTCACCTGGGACAGCTCAAGAGGTTTTCCCTCCGTGAGCTGCAAGTTGCGACCGATAGCTTCAGCAATAAGAACATTTTGGGGAGGGGTGGTTTCGGAAAGGTGTACAAGGGGCGGCTTGCTGACGGTTCTCTGGTGGCCGTCAAGAGGCTCAAGGAGGAGAGGACACCTGGCGGTGAACTTCAGTTCCAGACGGAGGTTGAGATGATTAGCATGGCCGTACACCGTAACCTTCTCAGGCTTCGCGGTTTCTGCATGACACCAACTGAGCGTCTGCTCGTCTATCCGTATATGGCTAACGGGAGTGTTGCATCGTGTTTGAGAGGTAAATTATACCTTTATGGGATTTTTCTATTTTCTAAAAACAAAAAATTTGGACAAAATATATTTTTTGGGTTTTGGAGGTCTTCACACAAGATTTTTTTTTATATATGTTTTTTATTTTTATTTTTTTCAGAACGACCACCTAACGAACCGCCGCTAGATTGGCCGACAAGGAAGCGCATTGCTCTTGGGTCCGCGAGAGGCTTGTCGTATCTGCATGACCATTGTGACCCGAAGATTATTCACCGTGACGTGAAGGCTGCCAATATACTGCTAGACGAAGAATTCGAGGCTGTGGTCGGAGATTTTGGTCTCGCCAAGCTCATGGATTATAAGGATACACATGTGACTACTGCCGTTCGTGGCACCATTGGGCACATAGCTCCCGAGTACCTCTCGACTGGAAAATCATCCGAGAAAACAGATGTGTTCGGGTACGGGATTATGCTTCTTGAACTGATAACTGGGCAGAGGGCTTTCGATCTGGCCCGTCTCGCTAATGATGATGATGTCATGTTACTCGATTGGGTACTCTCTTTCTCTCTCCATGTGTATTTGTATTTGTATATTTAGGTCATGTTTGGTAAAACTATCTGATAGCTTATAAGTGATTTTCGAGCTTATAACTTATGTATATAGCTGAAAAG